CTTCTACTTCTTGTGTGTTTCTATGGGAGGGGCCATAAGTTTTCCTATTAGGCGGTGAGTAATTATAAATGTAATTACCATCAGTTTTTGATCTCTTTTCCTTATTGAAGGGCACTTTAGGAGATTGTTGAAAATTCCTATATCTTATAGGTACAGTGCTTTCCTCCTCCCGCCAATTACTCTTTCTATAATTTTGAGATCTATTTTTGATAGGTGATTTGTTCAAAAATTTTCTATATCTAAATGGGATAGAATTAGAAGCATGATGATGTTTCCAGATTTCTCCACTTGATTTGGCCTTGTTTTTGTTTTATTGATAGGGGAGAAGGTTTTTCTATTTTTATCTTCCCTATCTCTAATTTTTTTTTTTTTTTTAGTATTTTCTATTTTTTCTTCAAATTCTTTTACCCTTTCACTAATTAATTGTTCTTTTTCTTTAAATTCTATGGAATCTCTTTCCAAACCCTCCTGTGTTTCTAAAACATTCATTTCTTCCTCAACTAATTTTCTGCTGTGTTTTTCGAATTCAACATTAAGTTTCATAAGATTATTTGAACAATTTTTTAGCACCTCATCCCATTTTTTCACAAATTCCTCATTCTCTATTCCGAATGCTGGAGTTTTTTCTACTCTTAAACCCCTAGGTATTAGCCCTTCTTTTAGATATCCTTCTAAATATGAGATCTTCCACTATTTTCTAGTTTCTTTTTTCACTTTCACTTTTCATTTTGGATGTATTTTATCTCTTTGTATTACTGAGACTTGGAAGTTCATGCATTGGAGTAAGAACACTGCCTGAGAGCTACATGGATTTTTGATACGCCTTATTCATTCAGTCAAAGCGTAAGTGATCCATTTGGCTAACATTATTACTGTAGAAGCTTCATACGGAGTTGCACTATGTTATTTTTTGTTTCCCTATAGTTGGATTGACCCTAATTTGTGTATATATGTAGAGAGTGCTTATTGAAATAGATCAATAATCAATACTGGACTCAGTGGAAATAGCAAATATAAAATAATCCTTAGATGATCCTTATGAAGTCTTAAAATGTATCAGCTAGTCAGATCTAAACCTCCTATAGGATAAGGTAGGTAGAATCCACTGGCTGTTAAAGAGTTAATATAGTAGAGATCCTATAATCATTAGAATCAATACAACATATTCATAATAAGTATCAAATAATAATAAAAATATATCTTGTGATATAAATCCCAAAGGATCAGAAGTTAGTCTAATATATGTAAAGCAGACAGCAAGCTATTTATGAATGGTTTATTGTCTAAACAGCACACAAAAATATAAAAGACTAATAATCAAAAGTTAAAATGAAAAACAGTCCCACATGAGAGAGATATGGTAAACCGGGTCACAGTAGACTGAGGGTCCAAAGATGTAGATGTAGATTACACTCTCTTGCCGGCCGGACAGAGGTGAAGGTGGACTACCTCGTGCTGCACTGACACCGTGTATTCGCCACGTGCGGCTGCTGGATGCGTTCCAAACGCTCTCTCTCAGGAGCTGACTGTGTTGATCGGAAGATGTATAAAGTATATTTCTAAAAGTGTTAAAAAATTGTAATGTTTCTGGCCAGCAGATAATTGAGTTTAGTATGTTGCTGAAACTTAATTATCTAGCCTGGCCCAGAGGAGGAGTCTGTTACTGTATAAATTGAATGCCTGTTGCTTCCAGTAAATCAGTCTTGTTCCAGCATTAAGCTTTGGCTCATGTGTGGATTATTTGGCGATACCAGCTACATTTTACCCTGTGGATTATTGTGATTATTCTACTATTGGGGAAAAAGGGAATACTAGACGGTGATACAGATTACTACCGTCACAACTGGTTGGCAGCGGCGGGATTTTCCTTTTTCCTGAAGCAAAGAATTTGAATAAGGCTGGTGTACAGTAAATGGAAGGCTGGTACACACAGCTCAAGCGCAGCACATTGAAGGAACTCTTAGAGGTTCGTGGAAAGAGTGCGATCAACAAGGCCAAGCGGGTCATTATAGCCGAATTGATGGAGCTAGACCAGGAAACCTTGGCTGAGGCAACGCCGACCGTTCGGGAGATCGAAGCACCGGCAGTTCGGAAAAATGAATCCCCCACTAACCGGGAGATGCGAGAGAGACTGGCATGGTTCGGCCCGAACCCAACTCCGGAGATCATCATGCAGGTGATGAAAATAACAGCAGATGAAGCTGCGCAAAAAAGCACAGCTGGAGCTGCGATTAAAGTTGGCAGAGACCCAGCGAGCAGAAACAAATTTCCAGAGAGGGGGAAATGGCAGTGAGGACACCCAAAAGATTCCCTTCAGTGCATTTAAAGCGTTCACGGAGAAAGACTGTGAGATTGATGGGTACCTGGCAGACTTCGAGCGCCAGTGCACCATACACCAAGTACCAGTGGAAGAATGGGTCTTTATACTCGCAGGAAAGTTATCCGGCAAAGCAGCAGATGCCTTCCGAGCGGTACTCGGGGAGGAGATCAACAACTATGCCCGGGTTAAAGAAGCACTCCTAGCTCGATATGCAGTAACCCCAGAGACATACCGGCAAAGATTCCGAGACTCCTGCAAGACTGAGAACGACTCTTACACGGAATGGGCATGCCGCCTGCAACTCTCAGCCACCAACTGGATTAACAGCTGCCAAGTTACAACCCTAGATGACATCTTGCAGCTGGTACTACTAGCCCCGTCCAGCTAGCAACGAGCCCCACTGCTTCCGGTGTAACCAGCTGGGACATCTCCGCAACAACTGTCCCCTAGAGCCTCCCAGATCCAACTGGACCCGACCCAGGTTCCCTCAACCCCGGGCAGTGGTCCACTGCGTAGACTACCAGATGCCCTCCGATTGGGATGCCAAGAAGTTGAGTCGGGAAGAACCTCTGGGAACCCTGTACGAAGCCCTTATAGTCCAATCCACCATCAATGACAACAGGAAGCATCAATGTCAGCTGGTGATGGTTAATGGGAAAACTGCCCGGGGACTTCGAGACAGTGGCGCTACCATAACCTTGGTGCAAAGGCTATTGCTGTGCGAGTGGCGGGGGGGCTGTGTACCGGATTCCCACCGCCCAGGTCCATCTGGACTGGAGTGCCGGAGCGGGCAACGTACAGGTTGGAGTAATAAAAGAGTTGCCCGCCGAGGTAGTTCTGGGCAATGATATTGGCCCTTTGACTTCAGCTTTTGCGGCCGCTTCTCCAAACGAGGTACAAGCGGTGACCATCCGATCACAGAGTTGTGCTGCCGAGAGCCACCCACCACCAACTGAGACCCAGGTAAACCAACTGCCCCTGCCCCTGACCGCAGAGCCCCTTCCCTGGGATACCACGGAAGATTTTGGGAAAGAAGTAGAGGGGGACCCCACACTCAGCCAGTACAGGGAAAAAGCAAAAGGGGGGGTTAGAGAAGGAGCAGTTAGTATGGGAGAATGGCCACTTATACTGGCTTACAGAGACCCGGGTCAATGCACCCGGGCCCCATCAGAAACGCTAACTAGTAATCCCGAGGAAATACCAGCGGGAGTTATTACGAGTCGGGCATGATATCCCGTTAGCGGGACACCTAGGGATACGCAGGACATTACATCGGATAACCCAGAACTTCTTCTGGTCTGGGGTATCTGACGACGTCCAGGTGTATTGCCAGACATGTGAGATATGCCAAAGGGTGGGTAAAAGAGGAGACCACCCGAAAGCTAAATTAGTCCCACTTCCCATAATAGAGGAACCCTTTACGAGGGTCGCAGTGGAAATTTTAGGACCCTTAGCTAAGCCTAGCCGCTCCGGTAAACGTTACATTCTTACCGTAGTGGACTACGCTACCCGTTAACCGGAGGCAGTAGCCCTTTCTAATATACAGGCCAAGACGGTGGCGGATGCTCTGGTCAACAGTAACCCAACAGCTATGGAAGGTCTGCGGGGTTAAACCCCTGACCAGCTCCCCATACCACCCCCAGACTAATGGGCTCTGTGAACACTTCAACGGAACTCTGAAGCAAATGCTGAAGACGACGCGGAGCAAGATGGTCGCATAGAAATCTGCTCTGCCACATGGGCACCTAATCTGTGACAATCCCAATAACAGAAACTGCATCCAGCGACCTTCAACAAAGATGTCACAACATAAGAACAAAAGGGGTTCGGCGAAACCCGAAAAACATAATTTTTTCAATCAGAAAACGTCGTCCGCAGCTCCGGCGGAACAGGCCTCATTTGACACCGAGGATCCTGATTCCGATGACGGCAAACAATGCTCAAGATCCAGCACACAAGCACACCATACACAAATCACAAAGGCGGATCTTTCAGCTTCTCTGGAGATACTATCAACCAAGCTAATAACTACATGGCAACATACCGCAGATTCTTTGAAAAAAGATATCCAGGAACTGGGAAGGAGAACAACAAACATGGAGGATAAATACGATGAATTCGCTACGGCACACAATGACTTAGCCACCAATGTGGAACAACTATCCACACAACTAAAGAATATGGAAGAGAAACTAACAGATATGGAGGACCGTTCCCGCCGGAACAACCTCCGACTAAGGGGAATCCCTGAAGAAATAACCAGCGATAACCTACCTTCCTACATTAGAGGATGCCTGAAGGCTCACGCACCCGAAATACCAACAGATATGCTGTTGATAGACAGGATGCACCGCATCCCTAAACCGCGCCATCACCCCCCTACGGTCCCAAGGGATGTGTTACTAAGAGCTCATTATTTCCACGTAAAAGAGCATATACTCAGAAGCTGCAAAACACGAGCAAGGCCGCCGGAGGAGTATGCCGCGGTCCGGATATACGCGGACCTCTCTGCAGCTACACTTCGGAGGAGAAAGGAGTTCTCCCAGATAACAGGAGCGCTGAGAGCACAGGGCATCCGATATAAGTGGGGTTTCCCCACCAAACTCATCATAACACAAGAAGGGAAAACGACGGTAATACAAACACCAGAAGACGGCAAACAGAAACTACAAGGTTGTAACATACCAGTAACACCTGACCCCCAAACCACACCGAAGACAGATGGGAAACTTAGAACCGAATGGACACTGAACCACAAGAAACATTAATCCAGGACGATCCCTGGTCTACCGGCAAAATCGGACGTACTACTCTAAGTAACTTCCACACGTGGGGAATGCAACCTATAAAGAACTACTCTCCCTGACACAACCACGAACCTGCTTTGGACGACCCCGGGACTGGTGGGGACCGCTGAGTGCTGCAGGCCGCCGGATCCGGGACTCCCGCCACCCCCCCGCGACGAAGCGGTGCAGAGCGGGGTCGGCGGGGCGGGGGGGCCGGGTCTGGGGATGCACCTCTGGCTGGGAGCGGCTCCTGAGTGGGTCCGGGAGGCCCTTGGACCCGGAGCTCCCAACATCCCCTGTGACGAAGCAACGCAGAGCAGCGGAATAGATGTGGGGGACCCGGGTCCGAGACCGCGCCTCTGATGGGGGGACCATCTCGGGTAAGCAAATACCACTACCCCAGGCACCCCCATGTGGGGGCTCAGGCACCGAAACGGGCCACAGGGGGACACACAAAGACACACAGATTGAAAGACTTGGGTAAATTTCTGCTTCCCCCTTACCTTTTCTCCTAAAATGGGTCCCACTTTCATGTTTTGATTTTTCAAAGTCATACTGTGAATTAATCAGGAGGGGGGGGAGGGACTTGGGAAGATGTACTGTAATGAACCATTGATGTGGGAATGTGTGGGTTTCAAGATAGAGATACACTCTCTATAATTACCCAAGCAAGCTAACATGGACACACTACTAGCGAGGATCGTCCCCTCCAACTGACCCCTCCCCAATCAGCGAGAATAGGGGCGCCGTGACACATTGATTAGATAAGACCCAGCTACATACACAGTGGCCTGCAATAGGGAGACGACTTCTGTGATCCCCAAACTGACAATAAGCATGCCCAAAAAGTAGAAGCGCCCTCATAGGACCGGGGGACGACAAACCCGAAGCGACCGCCCTCTGCCCCGAACGGGGATGTCCCACGGGGCTTACAGTGAAACGCACAGGTGGGTAGCGACCTAACTCCACAAGTGTACTACCCTGCTACAAACGACCAAACCGCATATAGCTCATCATGCAGTGACCTCTAAACACAGCCCATAGACCACGTAGATGGAGAAAACAACCAACTCCAACCCCTATGGTGTGGCAATCCCACACCTTGTCTTGCAAAGAGACATAATGTACATAGTTTTCCCCCCCTCACCAAGTTTCAAACCCCCTGTTAGTACCCCTACTAGACAAATCAAAAACATGAGATACACCTAGGTCAATGTAGCACTAGATAGCGCATGTTCAAGATACAGCATGCACCGAAAAATGGGACTTCATATCACCTCATCGCAATGTCACAAAATCTTTACCTCACCAACACAAACTCTCATGATACTACGTCCTGCCACAAACACCAAACCAATGAACCGCAGGCCTCAACACCTAGCAATCACCCCACATCCGTATTTGGTAGATGAAGATACAATCAATTAACACCCGCGGGCTAAATACACCGCATAAACGTAGATTACTGTTAGAAGGAGCACAAAAGTACAAAACAGATATACTTTGTGCGCAAGAGACACATTTTGTACACAACAGAGTCCCTACATTTGCCTACAGGGACTATCCAACTCAATATCATTCAACATACTCCTCCAAATCAAGGGGAGTCTCCATATTCATTCATAAATCTCTAACATTTGAACTCCTACAACTAAAGAAAGATGCACAAGGCAGATATATCATACTGCACTGTAACATAAACAACATACAATATCTCATAGTGAGCTTTTATGGGCCCAATGATAACCAGAAGAATTTTCTCCACAAGATACTAGCGAAACTGCCGACTATGTCCAACATTCCTCAAATAATTTGCGGAGATGCCAACCACATACTACAGCCCAAACTAGACACCACCTTACCACATACATCACCTAGATATAAAAACATATGTAAACAGACAACAGCACTAACACGACTATTTTCGGAGTACGGACTCTACGACGTCTGGAGGGCCCAACACCCAGCCGACCGTCTACTCGTCTGCCCATCATACGTATTCCAGGATTGACTACATACTAATCACTGGGGACTTACTACCACACGCAACCCATAGCGATATCGGCGACATAACCTGGTCGGATCACGCCGCTGTCGGGCTAACAATCAAAGATAACTTCGCTTTCAGGGGAACAACACCCTGGCGTTTGAATGACACTCTTTTACAAAATCCGGAATTTACCCACAAACTAAATACAGAAATAATAACATACTTTGCACAAAACAACACTCCCGATGTCTCACCTGCCACTGTGTGGCAAGCTCATAAAGCAGTCATACGCGGCCATCTCATAAGCAGAGCATCTTTTCTCAAGCGCAAGTCAAATCAAGAGTATGTAAACCTACTCAGATCCCTTAGAGATGAAACTAGAGCCCAAATCTTATAACCAACACCGGACAGGCAACAACACATACAACACATACAGAAACAAGTCAATGACACACATATAGTAAAGACAACGAACATCATGCATAGACTAAAACTCAATACATATACACAAGGAAACAAAGCAGGGAAGGCACTGGCATCAACACTCCGTCAGAAACAACTGAATGCCAAAATACCCTTCCTCTTCAACGAGCAGGGAAACAAAATTTATAACCCACAGGACATAAATAACATGATGGCGGACTATTGCGAAGGGTTATATAACCTAAAAAACGACGGCAACACATACCAGCCTCACACATCTAACATAACAGACTTCTTAAGAGAAGTACAACTAACTAACCTAACATCGGATAACAAACTAGAACTAGAAAAACCCATCACACTTAGTGAAATACAACAGACGATAAAAGCGCTCCCTAAAGGGAAATCCCCAGGCCCAGATGGGTTTACGAACCTATATTATAAAACCTTTTCCCACACGCTTGCACCTCAACTAGTGAATTTATACAATCATATTTTATCTACTGGAATCCCTCCCCAGGAGATGTTGACTGCACACATAACAACACTACCCAAACCTGGTAAACCACCACACAAATGCCAAAATTTACGCCCAATCTCATTATTGAACACAGACCTAAAAATAATGGCAAAAATATATGCAACCAGATTGGGGAACTTTTTACCATCTCTAATAAAAAATGATCAGGTGGGATTCATCAGAGGCAGACAGGGCTCCGACGGTACCAGAAAACTAATTGACCTCATCCACACCATCCAACAAACCCGGGAACCTAGTGTGGCCTTGTCACTAGATGCTGAGAAAGCATTCGACAGGCTACACTGGGGATACCTGGAAGCCGTACTTCAGAAATATAATTTCCCACAAAGATTTCTCACATTAGTCTCGGCCTTATATAATGAGCCAACCGCGAAGGTGATAAATGGAGGCTTCGCTTCCAGACAATACCGAATATCGAACGGATCCCGACAAGGATGTCCACTGTCACCCCTGTTATATATTCTAGCTCTGGAACCATTAGCTCAACACATCAGAGGAAACCAAAACATACACGGGATAACAATCGGCAAGGTAAAGCATAAAATCACGCTGTTTGCCGATGATGTGATGTTGACCCTAACCAAACCTGAGATATCTCTACCTACACTACAGACAGTAATACAACAATTTAGCAATTGCTCGTACTACAAACTAAATGTCACTAAGACCCAGGCCATGAGCTTCCATATACAAAACCCAAGGCTCCAACATCTACAGAATACATACACATATGACTGGAGGCGTGACCACCTCACCTTTCTAGGCATATCACTCACGCCAACCACGCGTAAACTGTACCAGGCCAACTATGAGAAGCTCCTCCGGGAGATAAACAATCAAATGCAGGGCTGGAAGGGGAAATATGTGTCGTGGATGGGCAGAATCGCAGCGGCAAAAATGATGATACTGCCACGTCTACAATACCTTTTCAGAACCCTACAAATAGCTCTCCCAAAATTATTTCTCATAGACGCTCAGCGCTCCCTAAATAAATTTATATGGGGTGGGAAAAAAGCCAGAACAGCAGCAGAGATTCTATACAAACCCTTCAAACTGGGAGGAATGGGGGTCCCAAACATCACAAGATATTATGAGGCAGCTATGATAAGTACACTGATAAACACATACCACCACAAAACGCCACTTGCATGGACCCAAATAGAAGCGGCATACACCGAGAGCATGCCACTACACACCCTAGCCTGGATACCTAGGGACAGAAGGCCACAATATAAAAACATATGCCCAACCACTATGGCTACACTCAAAATATGGGACAACCTGGTCAAAAACAAAAACAAAAAAGCGCAATTCTCCCCAAACCTTCAACTCCGGGCACTAAATGTTTTGATTCCAGGATTTGACTACAAAACCTGGAACTCCCTTGGAGTGTCCTATATATCACAGATACTGACAAACGGACATATAAGCGACTACGACTCGCTACGCAACAAATACAATCTACCCTCCACACTCTTTTTTTCCTACCTACAACTGAAATCATGGGCAACCAAACACTATGACAACTCCCAGACACGGGGTTATGTACTCAATGAGATAGAAATCTTATGCATGGCGGGCAAGCCACCACCACGACTACTATCCACCCTATATCGATTGCTTGAACACAACACAAACACAGAAAAACCTAACTTTATTAAAACATGGGAAAAGGAACTAGACCACACACTGACGCCTGACGAATGGCTTCAGACCCGGAGAGCACATAAAACGCTCACATTAAACACAGCACACATAGAATTAAGCAGGAAGCTTCTATATCGGTGGTATATGGTGCCCTCAAAGCTACACAGGATAGATTCTACCAAACCAGATACATGCTGGCGATGTAGCGCGGAGCCTGGGTCTATGACCCATATCTGGTGGGGATGTGCGAAATTGAAAAAATTTTGGTTAGACGTCTCAAGCCTCATAGAGTATACCACAGGCGTCAAGCTACCACACACCCCACTAACTTATCTGTTACTCATATGGCCCAAAACACTACAGAAACCGAATGAATACCTGGCATATCATATAATTATTACAGCATTAACCGTCATAAGTAGGAACTGGCTGAAAGATATACCCCCCTGTATACAAACATGTATAGAAGTGTTGGAAACTACCAAAAAATATGAAACAACAGCAAGGAAAGTGCAAACAAAGAAAAACTTCTGGGCTATGGCATGGAATCAATGGGAGTTGAAGACTACGCACCATACAAACAGTCCCACAACTTCATAATTCATAATTGAATATAACCTTATAATTGAATATAAGCGCATCGCAATCTAGCCAATTGACCGCAAACTCTGCGAGCAAACCGACCACACTTCCCTCCTCCCCCTTGTTTTTTTTTTTTCCTCCACCCCCTTCCCCAAATAGTTTATTCTCCCCCTCTTTTTTTTTGTTCTCTTCTCTTGCATACAACCAGTACCCCAAACTCCCTATTTGCAAGAGCAGACTTACCGGGCAACTTTGTTGTCACCACCACCACTACACGTATAAATGTAATCAAAGGGGCACACAAGATATCTTCCGTATGCAGGAACTGAATTAACATATATGAATATAATGGTAAATTGTTTAACTGTACTGGATGTCTGCATGACTAGATCTGATGATGTACATAGTTAATTTGGGGTCTGACAAACAGGATGTTAAATGTCCCTACTCCCGTTTTCTTCTGTATCCCTACATTGCCTATGTCTATATTTACTGACAATGAAAAAATAAAATAAAAATTTGTCAATCAAATGCTGAAGACATTCACAGGAGCCTACAGGGATTGGGAACGGTTTCTGCCGCATCTCCTCTTTGCATACCGGGAGGTGCCCCAGGAATCCACCAGGTTCTCACCCTTTGAGCTACTATACGGGAGACGGGTGAGAGGGCCGCTAGACCTCCTTAAGGATCACTGGGAGGGCCACACAGAGATTGAGGGGACCCCGATTGTGCCCTACGTGCTGGAGCTGCGGGATCGCATGGAGGAATTGGCTCAGGCAGTACAGGAAAACCTCCAGGAGGACCAACAGCACCAAAGAGTATGGTATGACCAGAGGGCCAGGTACCGAAGCTTTAAAGTCGGACAGAAGGTCATGGTGCTAAGACCCGTCTGCACTGACAAGCTTCAGGCTGCCTTGTAGGGACCCTATAAGGTTGTAGGACAGGTGTGCGATACCACCAACACTGTAGCCAGCTGCGAGGATGAAGATGTGAAACGGACGTTTCACATCAACATGCTCAAAGTGTATCACGAGAGGGCCGAGGAGGTGACCGCTATCCTTGCCCCTGCTGGCGAGGACACAGAGGCTTTGCCTTTACCAGATCTGTTAGGGGGTCACCGGGAGACAAGGACAATAGAGTTGGTCCAGTTAGGGGAACAGCTAGAACCCCATGAGAGGTCTCAGGCTATCCGCTTACTGGGGACCAAACAAGCCACGTTCTCCCAGGAACCCGGGTACACCCAGCTGGCTGTCCACAAAGTAGAAACCCCAGGGCAGACGCCCCTAAGGCAACCTCCCTACTGCATTCCCGAAGCTGTCAGAGACGGGATGCGGAAAGAAATAGACGAAATGCTCCGGCTGGGGGTAATAGAGCATTCAGAAAGTCCTTGGGCTTCACCTTTGGACCTAGTACCGAAGCGGGATAGTACAACACGCTTCTGTGTAGACTACAGGCGGCTCAATGACAAGACGGTCACAGACGCCTATCCGATGCCCCGGATGGACGAACTGCTTGACCGCATCTCCACGGGGAAGTATCTGACCACGATCGACCTATGCAAGGGATACTGGCAGATCCCACTCGCGGAGGCTGCGGTCCCCAAGTCAGCCTTTATCACCCCGTTCGGCCTATACCAATTCCAGGTTATGCCGTTCGGGATGGTGGACCGCCTATTAGAGGGTTTCCAGGATTATGCATGTGCCTACCTGGACGATATCGCCATCTATAGCAATACCTGGGAGGCACATCTAGAGCATGTAGGGTCAGTACTAGATAGGATTAGGGGACCCGGCTTAACCTTGAAGCCGGACAAGTGTCGGATATTTGGGCCACCGGGTCGGACGTGGCAAGCAACGGCCAGAGCCAGCTAAGATTGAGGCAGTTGCCAATTGGCCCATTCCCTGTACCAAGACACAAGTCATGGCCTTCCTGGGGACAGCCGACTATTACAGACGCTTTGTACCTGAATATAGTGCCCTAGCCAAACCCCTGACTGACTTAACCAAAAAGAAGTTACCCCGACAAGTCCTGTGGTCCCCGGAGTGTGAGGTGGCTTTCCAAGCGTTAAAGAATGCTCTTGTTAATGCTCCGGTGTTAGCTGCCCCAGATCCTAACAAAAGATTTATTGTCCACACAGACTCTTCAATGTTTGGACTGGGGGCAGTATTAAGCCAGATCGGAGAGGAGCACCCGGTAGCCTACCTGAGTCGGAAGCTGTTGCCAAGGGAGGTCAGTTATGCGGCCATTGAGAAGGAGTGCCTTCAAAAAGCTCATTCCCTATCTCTATGGCCGTGCCTTCACCCTCATTACTGACCACAATCCCTTGGTCTGGCTCAACCGGGTCTCAGGGGATAATGCCCGTTTGTTGCGCTGGAGTCTGGCCATCCAGCCATATGACTTTACCATCCACTACCGCCCAGGCAAGCAAAATGGGAATGCAGACGGGCTGTAACGTCAAACTGACTTGTTATTAGACTAAGAATTGGACTTCCCGTCAGCCCCTACTGGACCAGGAGAGGTCCAACAGTGTCTGCCGGAGCAGGGAAAAAAAGGGGGGCCATTGTGAAGAATCACCCTCCATGTATTCTGTACTTTCTCTCCCTGCTAGTTAAGTGACTGTAAAGTATTCGTTGTTATTTCTGTGTTCGGGACATTTATTCATTCTACCGAACGGAGACCACCCTGGGTAGTAATCAGAACTTAGAACACTGAGTAACCACACGAAACCGCAACTTAATTGAGTGCTCCTAGGTGGCCGCCATTCGGCATACGAACACGTGGCGAGAACAAAGGATGGCGGCCATCTTAAATCTCCCGAATGCGGCCAGTGGGACTTACTCGTGGATTGCCTGGAACTGTTTTCGGCATGGCAATCACACGAACGCCCGGTCATTATGGAAGTCCTGTCTGACCTATTTCCATCCATAGTATCAAACCGGTGTTCGGGAGTTTTAATCTACCGAACGAGGGGAGCACTCTCAGGTACCCAGCTGTAACATATCTATGGTAGTTTTCGTGTAATTCTGCACGAACGGGGACCGGCTCTTACTACTGAGTTCATGGAACGCTAAATCGGATACCACCACATGGCGAGCCGGTCAAACTTCCACACGATGCGACACGGAAACTACAGAATGGATTTTCGTGCAATTTGGATATGTTACTCCCAGTATCCTCAGCTACCCCTTTATACATATTCCTATGTCATGTATAAAGTATATTTCTAAAAATGGTAAAAAAATGTAATGTTTCTGGCCAGCAGATAATAGAGTTTGGTATGTTGCTGAAACTCAATTATCTAGCCTAGCCCAGAGGAGGAGTCTGTTACTGTATAAATTGAATGCCACTGTAAATACCAATTATTTGATTTAAAATTTACAAATTAACTTGTATTATTAATTATAGAGGAGCAGAAATTGGCAATCACTTGTTTTTGTTGTTGTTGTTTTTGTTAATTTCCCCAGACGTTTTGCAAAGACCACTTATGCAAAAACCTTTCTTTTCTGGTTATTGCTTAACTTCCTTGTATACTGATTTCTTAATCTTTCGTAATACACTCAGATTTATGTCATCTGTCTTTATGCTACATCAGATGTAAAACAAGGGATTATGGGAAATCAGGAGTTTGGGTTTGCTGACACCAGAACGATCCCTTAGACTGTAGGATATGATAGGGGTGCTGCAGCCACAAGGGGCTTGGCCAGTGGGAACGGCATAGCACCCTTGGAAGGCTCCAGGGTTGGTGAAGAAGAGTCTCAGGCACACAGTGGAAAACAGCTGGAGTATGAGGGGTCCCATGCATCTCCTCCTACAGCGCAGCGTCAGCGAGAGACTATGGAGGCAGGCAGTGACGTCACCGCCAGCCACAGCATGGTGTCCCCTATGACTTGGGATGGTGGCGAGACGCCCTGTGTGTGACCTGCCACGGGTGGGCAGGACATGCCGCACTCAGGATAGGGATGCCAGGTCCCTGTCTATACTCAGGACTCTGTCTATACTCTGTCGCTCAAAGAGCCATCGACAGGAGCAGGCACCGTAGCAATAGCAAGGAATCCCATAACGGTAGCCGGGAGAGAGTGCGTCATGGCTTACCTAGCCAGGATGGGAGGCACTACGGCTCACTGGTTAGGGGTGTAAGTCCAAGGAGGAGTGCTTCTAGGTCCACTGGTGGAGGCTCCCTGGTCAGTCGGGCGCGTAGCTCTTCACGGTGCTGACTATGGCCGCAAAGGTCAGGACGTCAGATGCAGGATTGGCAGGTCAAGACTAGACTCGCTGGGCGAGATCAGGGGGGCTGGGAGTTCTGGTCGCCTGATTGTGCAGTTACGGGGCGGATAGGGCCTCAGGACGCCGGAACAAGATTCGCTATGGCTTCGCCAGGGTTCGTAGACAGTGGAGTTAAGGAGGCAACCCCAGGTCTGGCAGCTATACGGGGTTCGGATGGTGAGTCCCATCTTGCACCACACTCAGGAGACTTGATGGAGGGTGTAAGAGCTTTTCTTGATTCATGGAGTGCGGGTACGGGGAGGAGGAATTCATTTAGTCAGGTATGGATACAGGGTTAGGCACACAGGGGACATCGCTGGGGGCTGTTAGCACTGTGGATGAGACGGTCATGGCGTCATTCGGGTAGGTTGCCACAGAAGCGGTAGCAGAGTGGGCGTTGCTATTGGGGGACATTCCTGATGCCGCTCATCAGAATGTCCATGTTTTGTTCGTGGGTCCTTTGGGCTGCCACTTGAAGCCCAAGGTGAAAGAGCGGATATGGAATGGCGAATTCATAGAAATGTATAATTCTGGGGATCTGTTTGATGATTTAAAGTCTTTTCAGAGTCTTGGTGTGTAGGTGCGGGTAAGAGTGTGGATTTTAGTTGGGTTTGGGTGCCTAGCTCACGTATGCCGGAATTGGGGAGTGAACAGGCAGAGCGATTGGGGGCGTCCCGGAGATGGCACGCCAAAACGTGCATATTTCCTTTGTGGGACCTTTGGGCTGTCACCTTAATCATGAAGTGACGGAGAGAATTTGGAAAGGGGAATTTGTGGAGATCTTTTCGCTTCTCCTGTTGGAGGAGTACATTGATCTTAAAGATAGGGGCAAGAGGGATGGTAAGAAGGAGGAAGAGGAAAAGATGAGACGGTATCCTGAAGTCATTGGGATATTGTCAGGATTACTGTTTGATCCAGCACGTAGAACTGTATAGCACGGATGACAAATAAATAACGTATTACCGGTACTTAGAATGGCTGGATTTAACGTACATAGAATAGTCAAAAATACTAGCCAAGGTCAAGGAACACAGAAAGGGACGCAGCGATGAGGAAAGCCAGCAGTCAGTATACCAGAATATAGAGAAGTCAATAAACAAAGCCAAAGTCAAAACCCAGGTAGAAAACTAATAACAGGAACGCGCTCTCGGACAACCACAAGGGAAATCACGACAGGGCACTGAGCAGGATGAGAACCGGGCCTAAATACCCCTCCTTTAGTTCTG